TGTACATTTGAAGCTGTCTCAATGTATCTTAACATATACACACTAACAATCTCACATAGTAAAGACTTGGCAACTTGCTTACAACCATGAAGCTTATGTTGCACTCACACTGAGCAGCCAACAATCCTCTGATGTGGTACATATGACGCAGAGCCTTGAGTTGAGCCTGAGTTTTGCCACATCAAGTTGATATGTTGGTTATTTATTAAACCACGTTAGAGTAACTCATCATCCCGAATTTTGTCGTCTCTCTGTTTCTAAATGCCTCGAGTACAAAGACCGATACTTTGTTAATGATTTCTTTGCCGTTTCTTATTCATGTATCTAAAACGAGTAGCTTAATTACTTCATAGTGTGTGTTTGCTTTAAGATCCAAACAATGTGAATATGTTTGAATACATAATGCCATTTTGAAAGTAGTCAGATGAAACTATGTTGTATTTCAAATAACAATTTCTCAGAAAAGTACAGATTCTAGTAATCCCATCGTGGATTCGACAAAACACTGTCAGAGTTTGGCATCTAATGTGGAAGTCGCAGCGGCTGAGTGGTTTACTCAACCTAAGAAAAGTGCTAGAATCTGTATACTGAGAAAGTGCAATCCCAAACATAACATATGTTACGTGACTCTCTTTGTTTTCCACATAAAGAGAGTCTCCTAAACTTACACACGAGAATCGCATGGGAGCGTTTAACGTTCCAGATGGGTATTTTAATTTAATTCTCAACTTTAAAAAGTGGAGGCGCCTGTAAATATTAAAAACGGAAGTAGTAGAATGAATGAATGTACCTTTAATTTACAAATAACTCGATCGCCTGCATGTATAAGTAGCGGGAGCTCCAGGGCCCCGTTTCACGAAGCGAACGTAGCGCTAAGGTGATCTTAATACCCATACTTTAACATAGACTTACGACAGTCGTAGCGCTAAGGTGATCTTAATACCCATACTTTAACATAGACTTACGACAGTCGTAGCGCTAAGATGATCTTAATACCCATACTTTAACATAGACTTACGGCTGTCGTAGCGCTAAGATGATCTTAATACCCATACTTTAACATAGACTTACGGCAGTCGTAGCGCTAAGGTGATCTTAATACCCATACTTTAACATAGACTTACGGTTGTCGTAGCGCTAAGGTAATCTTAATACGCATACTTTAACATAGACTTACGACAGTCGTAGCGCTAAGGTGATCTTAATACCCATACTTTAACCCATAGCTTTAACACCCATACTTACGACTTGACAGTAGCGCTAAGGTGATCTTAAAACCCATACTTTAACATAGACTTACGGTTGTCGTAGCGCTAAGATGATCTTAATACCCATACTTTAACATAGACTTACGGTTGTCGTAGCGCTAAGGTAATCTTAATACCCATACTTAACATAGACTTACGGCTGTCGTAGCGCTAAGATGATCTTAATACCCATACTTTAACATAGACTTACGGCTGTCGTAGCGCTAAGGTGATCTTAATACCGATACTTTAACATAGACTTACGACAGTCGTAGCGCTACGATCGCTTTGTGAAACGGGGCCTTGGAATTTCATAAGAAAGACATAATTTTGGAAAAGGGGATTCCAGTAAAATGTTCCAAATGACGGAGTTCTTTACGTTCTGAATATAGATGGTGGGTGTTCCTTTCACGATAGCGCTATTTCCTTTAAGTAAAGAAATCAAAAGCCGGTCTTTTCTTGATTACAAGATCTTGACAAGGGTGCGTGAGGAACTCCTGCAACATAAAGAAGGTCAATCTGACTTAATGGTATCGTGTTTTTAAGTGCAGCATATCAAAGAATCTTTAATTTGGCGATAGCCTCAGCTCAATTAACTTCTACCTGTGGGGGATCTCTTCACAATTTGAAAAATTGTAAAAACTCCGATTGCGTGTTTCACAACTGTATGACGTTCTTTTAACACATTCAGCCTCGGGGGAAATAATTTGGTCGATCGAAATATTTGAAATACATGTCTTCAATACGACCTTTGACTCCATTTGTATGTTGTATGTTGTTTAACACAAGACTCAGCAATGTTGCAAAGAATTCAATTATTGACGTCATGGGTATTAATTTGGATCCGATGATATGTATAAAAACATGTCCGCTACCTGACCACCCGATTTGGTTAGTTCCCTCCTACGACAAATATACATGTAGTATGTTGGACATATATCAGTGAAGATCCAGGTTAGAATTGGTCTTCAGCAACCCATGCTTGTCGTAACAGACGACTAACGGGATCGGGTGGTCAGGCTCGCTGACTTCGTTGACACATGTCATCGTATTCCATTTGCGTAGATCGATGCTCATGCTGTTGATCACTGGATTGTCTGGTCCAGACTCGATTATTTACAGACCGCCGCCATATAGCTGGAATCTACCGCGACAACCAACCATAGATGTTCCTATTGTTGAGTGTGGCGTTAAACAATTTCATCCAAAACCAAACCCTTCCTAAACAAATATATGCTTGTTGGAGATGTGACTTCTTAAACCCAAACCATCCCTTTACGAGGGTTGTTGAATCTGGAGATAAGTTCTAACCCGGATATTTACGAGGGGTTGAATCTGTGTCCAGAGACCTCCTCGCTATTATCGACCTACAGTTGCTAAAATCGCATGTCATGCCTGCGGCGTTAAGCAATATTCACACAATTGAAAATCGTCCAAACAATTGCGATTGGCATCAAAACGTTAAGAACACTCTCTGGGAAACACTGCGAACTCCTCAAAACAACTGTGATAGCCGTGTCAAAAACATTATCACCGAATAACTACATGTATTTCTTTTCTCATTTTTATCACCAAGTAACATTGGTGCATTCGTGTTCTTTGCCCGGCACTTTAAGGACCAATCATTTTATACAAGTGTGGAGAGGTGGGAAGTTTTTGATACCTGTTGCAAACGCACTTCCATTTTTAAACATCGCCCAAATATGGGTGTTTGTTTATGGTGACCACAAGACTGTCTCATACGTGGTGGTCACCGTCTTCTTCTTCCCTCTGACCCACACCTTTTGAACAAATGACCGGTCCTTTACCTCGTCTCGACCCCGCTACTAAAACCTGAGGCATTTCCTGCCCACGTGTCCAACACGTGGATATTATTGTTAATTGCCCATGTCTACCAAATTTGAAACCCTAGGCTTAATAAACAGCCTAATAAATAATACTCTTTGTCTCACTCCGATATTTTCCTTGAGGCCCATATACCAACTCGCCCCAACCTCATGTATTTTCCCATACAATTCTAGCATAATCAACGTATCGGGTTGCTTCCGCAGATGTTCAAAAGCCACACGAGCAATTTAAATGTATAAATAGCACCAATATAAATGTGCGTTGGCAGTATGTACAATATAATGATTCTACAAAGGGCATGGGCAGACAATTGGAACTGAAATACCCATGAATACGTCTATGTTTATTTTATTTCCAAATCCGTTTTGCCCCTCTGAAGGACTGGGCAAAGGTTATGCAATTTTACACCTTATTAATGTTGAAATGTCAGGTTGCATGATAAATGATAAGAGAGAGGAGGACGTGTTTTATACGCAGATAACCTTTCACTAGCTATTGACAAATGCCACATGGTCAGCGAGTGCCAGTGGGTGTGAATTCGGCTACTTATGTAAATGCATTTGGACTGAGGGAGGGCTAAACCTTCCCCTTATGCTTCACAACTGAATAGGAAATAGCAACGTGGTGGGAGGTTCTACCCTCGGGATGTCCGTGGCACCGGGTGTCCTTGACCAGGATTAAACGGTACATGACATGATATATGACACAGCTTGTCAAGATACGGTGTCTCTTTGTGGACCCGTACGTTTGTTTTTGCAGGAATGGTTAATTCGAGTCGACAGGAACCCTTGCACACACGCACAAACGCACGCACGCACGCCGTACGTTTGTATTTGCATGGTTAATTCGAGTTCGAGTCGGCAGGGACCCCTGAAGCACACACACACACGCACGCACGCCGTACGTTTGTATTTGTAGGAATGGTTAATTCGAGTAGGGAGGCACCCATGCACACACGCGCACGACGCACTCACTCACTCACGCAAGCCGTACGTTATGTATGCAGGAATGGTTAATTCGAGTCGGCAGGGACCCTTGAAACACACACTCACACACACGCACGCACGGTCATTCATGCACGTACGCACTCCGGCACACGCGCGCACTCAAACATGTACACACACACACGCATTATATATATATAATTCTTTATTTCAAAATGGCCGTCACGGGAGACATATTGAATGAAAGTGTCTCACCATTTCTGAACCAGAGCTTTGGTTCCATTTGCAAGTAACTTTTTTTATCAATATTCCTTTTGACGCCGTCAAAAATATTTCGTGCCTGTTTGCTCAAAACCATATTCAAATATAACAATCTAAACTATCAGTGAACACATGAAACATGTTAACCGACTAACCTTGTGATGAAGCTGTGAAAGAAACGTGACCGAATCCGTGCACATGTAATATTAATAACATCCGCGTTTGATCTATTGTTTGAAGTTGAAAGAACCACTGGCAATAAAGCTTTCTTCCTCTTCTTTCTAAACGAGCATCTCATCGTCGCCATTTATTTGCATTTTTAAAGATGAAATAGACTTAATATTAAATGGATGCACACTCCTTGTCACAGAAGCTGTAGCTCACCTTCATTACCTACATTGATTCATGAATATCACGATATAATGACCTTGCTTTTTCTGGAAGGCTTACGGGTTCGATTCCCCACATGGGTACAATGTGTGAAGCCCATTTCGGGTGTCCCCCGTCGTGATATTGCTGGAATATTGCTAAAAGCGGCGTACAACCAAACTCACTCACTCACTCACTCTGGAAGGCTTCGATTAGCTGCAACGTAACATTGCCGATACGGCGTTAAGCAATATTCACTCACTGACTTTGTCTGGAATATGAGGGAAATGGATGATCCAGTCGTCTGAAGCCTGCGTCATTCACTTTACAGAGTTGCGTCCCTTAGGCGTACCAGGATAAATAAAGTACCAAATAAAGTAGTTACAGAGACACAGATTGGAGGTGGGAACCTAGTGGTTAGAGTGTTTATTCGTGTTCGATTGTGCCCACATGGGTACAATGTGTGATGCCCCTGGTATAACGGGAACTTTGCGGAATGCGATATAAAACAAAACCTCACTCACTTAAACGATGTATCGATAAAAATAATTGAAATTGTTACTGATGAAATACCGACATCTTTGTCATTGTTGTTGTTGTTGCTGCCACTGCTGTTTTTGTTTCACCTAAAATTGAAGGCATTAAAGAGTAAGGGTGATGTCGACCAGTTTTATATCATCGCGGTCCCCAAAACCTAACAAGTTATCAATGACCTGGTTATTCCTTCTACTCAAAAACATACAGTCGCCAGAAGAGTCAAAATATGATCGTCAAACGCAACCGGCTGTGCCTGTTGCCATGGTAAATTCCTGTCCTAATAACCACACGTTATCAACATATAATATCTCTATGCTTAAACTGACCGTTCATGTGACCTCAGCCTTATTAAAGACCATCTCATCTGTCGCTGTATAATCCCTACCATATAATCCGACAGCAGGGTGCCGATTTGATGCGGCTTCCTCCGTTCGACCTTAGCACGAAATTTGACGTCCATGCCGGAACACTGACTTAATACCAAAAGCCGATAAGTCCCAGACTGACCGATAGATGGCGCTGCTTACGTCACGTGACCACGTCAGAAGACTTAGCACCGTTGGTGTCGTGTGCACTTAGCACCTGATTGTTAGAAGGTATGTTTCATACCATTGATTTATGTCATATTTGACAGGTTCGCATCTGCAGCTTGTCAATATCACTTTCCGTTTCATATGATTGATCAATTAACTTATACCCTTTAACTAACTGGAAACACGACAATGAACAAGTAAATCACAGCGACGAAGGACTGAGCTGTTTACATGTATAACAAGTCTTAAAGTAGACAGATTTGACAAACGAGCATCTTATGAGCTCTGAATAACAACATCGTTTAGCGCTGGATTACAATCGTTAAAGAAGCCATGATTTGCGACCGGCTGCTCGTCTGATCCTATGATCCGTTAACGGGATCGGTTCCACAAACCTATCTTAGCGCAAAGACTGTCGTAAATATGTGTTGTACAGGGGCTACTGTCGTCTTTGCGCTAAGAACGCTGGATGTACTCCTTGTCTGGGATATCAATGTACGTGACAGAGGTACCAGAACCACTCTAGGCCTGGAGATCGGGTAGATACGGTTTTACCACATTTCGGGTATTGAAAATACACACAGCCGTTAGCCCCCTCCAACGCGCTTTGATAATAAGTTACCATCGAAAATGGTGTGTAATGTGTTCTTTGTGTCAATCGATACCCACCCGAAATTGTTCCCAGCCACCCCTCGAGAGAATACTCGAATAACAGAGCTGTGTATATATCATTTTATACGCAACTATACCGTTATGGTAATTTTCACTGGATTGTCTGGTCCAGACACTATTATTTACAGACCGCCGTCATATAACGGGAATGCTGCTGAGTTCGGCGTTTATCGAAATAAACAAATCATAAACATCTACAAACATTCTTGGAAGAGACCACAGACTGAACGCACTGTGCAATACAAGATTGAAATATTAATAGATATAAGATAGAGTCTAACACTCAGGTGAGGTGAGGTGAAATTGGGTTTAACGTCGTGCTTGAGAATATTTCGCTCATATGACGACGTGCATGCGTGTGTATGTGTATGTGCGACTGCTTGTACTAGCCCAGACTGAAGCTGGTTTTATAGGGCTAGCCCGCTGAGATACCACGCCGCAGTGAAGCATGAATACCCCACTGAGACACATTATACTGACTCCGAGCCGACCAGTCCTTGATGTACCCGTTAATGCCGAGCGCCAGGCAGGGACCAACAAGTACCATATTTTAACGTCTTTTGGTATGACGCGGTCGGGGATCGAACCCGCGACCTTCCGCTCTCCGGGCGGACTCTAACACTCAGAGCGGACAGATAAGCATTAGCCTGTGATAAACGAGATACGTAATACAGTGAACCATGGCATAAGCTCTCACTTCTCTGATGAGTCACGACCTTCGATCGCTCACGTTACTTACCGAAATCCCACGTCTTGGAATCCATGGCACATCTCATTCACTGAAGCGAAACTAAACTGAGATCTGGACCCAAAACTGAATTAAGCTTATGTTTGCACGAACGCATCGCAATAAAATCTAAGATTAACTGTATACGAAATGTACTTCAACATTCATGGCTTTTGTACCAGTTCTATAAATCCTGAACAGCTTAGGTTGGGGGATATGACGGTATTCATTACGGGATGGCTGTCCGGGAGTAAATGTCTCTCCACTTTACACAGATAATTGAAGATTTGATCGACTTTACACAGTGAATAAGGTTATCGATTTACACCCAACCATGAATTTGATTTTCAATATTTATTGTCATTCCGAAGCGTTGAAGTGCATTCACACATAATACCAATAACATTAGTTCTATTGGAGGTATGATTTATGGAGGGGAAACATATATTGGCTGGTACGAGAAAAGCGAAAATGGACTCTTCCAAGAAATATAATCCTCAGCACGCCAAGCACGTTATGCACGCGAGTCCGTGCGTTCGTGACGTGTTTAACGCCAGCCGCCATTAGGGTACATAGGCATATATAATTGTGGCAATGTTGAGGAGGAATGTGAAATATGACAGAGGTGGTTCTATAGCGAAGCTCACTAATTGGAAACGTTAGCACTTTTAAAAAATAATAATGGTTCGTTTGAAATACCTTCATGTAGTTCTATAATTCATAAGATTTACTTACTGTCTGTGTTTGTTGATTCGGGGTAAATCGACTGGGGATGTGTTGTTTTTTGTTGTATTCTACCATTGACGTATAACCATGTATTTTTGATATCTTAGTGTCATACGTTATTCATAAATGTTTATTGATGCCGAAAGTAGATAGCCTCCTGTTCTACCCCACTTTCATTAAAATATATTAATATGTTTGTATTATAATTCGTCTCTTTTTCTCTTTTATTACCAAATAGAACGACTTTACGATCTTTAATAACTGAGCATCCCCAAGCAGAGGGTGAGCAGTTTTATTAAGCATTCGATTTCCGAAAACATTAATATTGGTAGCAATAACTTGGCCTCAGAACAGATCGTGCATGTTTACATGTTAAACCTAATCGGTAAAATAAATTACAAATAACGGATTAAGTCTTTATGACCGCACGGTAATTGAATGATGCATGATGATGATAATACACCTGCGACATCTTTCGAAAAATGCCACCATACACAAATTAACGCAAGCATAACGCAATACCGAACGGCCATTGATAATAGTCTTCCTGGTTCAACCAAGTGTTAGAGATAAGAACGACCCTCCCTGGTTCCATATCCTGAGACTGGTCACGCAGGTTGTACGCGGTGCCGGTAACGTAGGCGCTTCAGGTAGTTGGTGGTGTTTTTACAAACCAGCTGGGATGTTAATCATTAATACAGCATCGGCAACAATTGAGGCCTTGGCACGGAGGTGCAGCCCACACATAGTGAGAGACGGGAGGAAACGGGCAACTGTCAGGGGATCTGAGAAATGGGAAAAACAGGAAATCGAAGAGGGAAATTAAAAGTAAATGTTAACAAGCTTGATTTATTGACTGAATCGTCCATAATGTATAATCACTGCCAGTTTTAGAATTCTTTATTAATATTTTTATTGGTATTTCTTCCTGTTTTGAACGGTAATATTTTGAATCTGTTTTTACGGAGACGATTCTCCATAAATTAATTGCTCATGAGTGATTTTTTATCTTTTCCAGACACATAATTCTATATCTTCTTTTGGTGAGACCTAGCTCGCCTCGCTGTCCGGAGCGAGTGTCTTAGCATGTTATCGACCGCTAATATCAGTGGAGATGGTCCCTGAGAAATATCAACCTTTTCCATTACCATGACAAGCAAGACTTAAACCTTTGCTTACAAGCCCTTGTGCTCACAAATGCGTCCTGATTGGATGTCCGTCTGAATACAATGTAATTGATTGGCTATATTTTCTCTGTTTTAGCGCTAGTGGTCAACGCTCGTGAAGGAGAAGTGCTCTCGCTGTCGGCCACGTGACCATACAACGTTGCCGTGCGCTTCCGCCAATTAGAGCTGGATACTGCTCGCTCTCAGTAGTAGCGCATTCGTCACGTAATCGAAAGTAGAGTCACAAGTCCCTGGTACCAAGTTCCAGGTGTGTTCGCCCGCTTGTCAGTGTGGCTCGACGGCGTGATGCATTGTGGGCCCGGCTCAGACAGGGGCCCCGAGGATGTGCAATTTCGCGACTGCATGTTTGGGAGTAGTGCTGTTCACCTGTGCCATCGCAGCACCGTCGGTAACAGCGCTGACGAACATTACAATTGGATACCTTACAACTTCCAAAGCGGTAACATTTAGCCGTAATATACAGGGTCGGCTTATATCTGGTGCCATTACGTATGCTATCAAAAAGATCAATGAGGAACATTTGGTGCCGGGGTACCGGTTCAAACTCGTATGGAACGATACCCATGCTGATACCCTGGTATCACTGCACAGTCTGGCCGAGCAGTGGCGGGCTGGAGCGGTTGCATTCTTTGGACCAGAGGATAGTTGTACAGTGGAGGCTCGACTAGCCGCCGCTTTTAATCTTCCCATCATATCTTATGTAAGTATTTCAAATATTTCTGACATATTGCGCTAGGTTTTATTTCATTTCTGTCACAGCCCATTTGAGCATCACATGGCAGATATTTTACCCGTATGAAAAGAAAAATATACGAGCTATATCTCAAGTATTGGTTAAAATTATATCACAAAAGTGTAAATCAAAACTCAGACATGATTCCCACAAAGGTGGCATATCATAACCCAAACGCATATCAATAGTATATCTCAAACAACGCAGTCAAACCTCTGATTCATCGAACAGTATTGGAGTCATGAAAATCATACTACGCACATGTACATCGGTAGTTAAGCATAACAAACATGTGAGTCCTACAACAGATAATAGTCTGGACCATGCCAGTAACATGCCACAAACATGTAACTGCATTATGTCATTAACACGTGTCATACCACAGAATAGTAACTGAATTTGGTTTTTAACGTTTGAATCATACCACGGCCATAAAATTGAACTATGTCGTTAATATGAGAATTATGCCACGGACCTTTAACTGAATTATGATTATATACATGTGAACTATGCCACGAATATGTCAATAAATTGTGTATCAATATGTGTCACACCACAGACATAGAACCGCATTATGTATTAACTTTAACATTATACCAAATATATAGAAATGAATTGTTAACATTTGAATCATACTACGGACGTGTAACTGAATTATGTTCCTGACATGAAACTTTTCATTAACATGAATCGTAGGGAATAATTATGTTATTAACATGTGAATCATATACCACAAGCGTAGAACTGGATGTTGTTGTTAACATGTGAATCATATACCACAGACGTAGAACTGGATTATGTTATCAACATGTGAATCATATAATACGGCAGACGTAGATCTGGATTATGTTATTAACATGTGAATCATACCACAGACGTAGAACTGGATTTTGTTGTTAACATGTGAATCATATACCACATACGTAGAACATGATTATGTTATTAACATGTGAATCATACCACAGACGTAGAACTGAATTATGTTATTAACATGTGAATCATATAATACGGCAGACGTAGAACTGGATTATGTTATTAACATGTGAATCATACCACAGTCGTAAAACTGGATTATGTTATCAACATTTGAATCATATAATACGGCAGACGTAGAACTGGATTATGTTATTAACATGTGAATCATACCACAGACGTAGAACTGGATTATGTTATCAACTTTTGAATCATATAATACGGCAGACGTAGAACTGGATTATGTTATTAACATGTGAATCATACCACAGACGTAGAACTGGATTTTGTTGTTAACATGTCAATCATATACCACAGACGTAGAACATGATTATGTTATTAACATGTGAATCATACCACAGACGTAGAACAGAATTATGTTTTTAACATGTGAATCGTACCACAGACGCAGAACTGGATTATGTTATTAACATATGAATCATACCACAGACGTAGAACTGGATTATGTTTTTAACATGTGAAATCATACCACAGACGTAGAACTGGATTATGCCATTTACATGTGAATCATACCACAGACATAGAGAGTAACGCGGTAGCTTACCAAGACCGGAGAATGTCTTGATTCTTTTACCATGAAAACTATTACTGTTCATAGTTAATCTGGCTCCATGTGAACGTTCAACATATTTACATCTTGCAGCATGTATCTATCAACGGACCTGTCAACTTTTTCAGAGCGTTTTAAACAAAGAATACGTTTTTCAGCGGATGTATGCTTATAATATGTTTATGGCTTGAAAAATTGGCGGTAACGCCGCGCAGTGTAATTTGTTGTATTCTGTCGGAAGGCTGTGTCGCATCATAACATTAACGGATGTGGGTCAGTTATGTCAGAGAGACAATACATAACTCTCCAGTCTTCTTCCTGCTCGTCATTATGTGACTGTGATTAAAGACATAAGGGGCCCTGATACACACAGCGATCTTAGCGCAAGGTTCATTGTGACTCACAGACTTCAACATGGGTTTATGATTGTCGTTGAACTGAGATCGCTTTGTAGAACGGGATCCTGGTATAGACAATAACCATTTGCGGACACAATTTACAATAAATACATACACATTATATATACTATTCAAAACAATCTCCCATCGATCGCCACTACGGCGCGAGTAATTCGCGTCCAGGTTGTGATCGATTAGACATTTGTATCCTGTCGTCTCCCCCCACGCCCCCCCTCATCAAACAGTGAATGGGATTAGAGACATCGGGAAAGTATTATACATGCGTACTTACAAATCGAATCGAATTACCTGCATGCTATAAAACTAATAACTCATAAACATGCCGCTGTTTAAAGCAAGTCCCATCGATCGCGACCGAGAAGCGAATACTTCGCGTTCTAGCCGTGGTCAAGCATACGTTTGTATCTTGCCTTCATCCACCATGAGATGCATCTAGCATTTATTGTACAGACGTGTTTACGAATCGAATTATATGCATGCTATAAAAATTATATTAACTAATAAACATACCGCTAGTCAAAACAACTCCCATCGATCGCGACCGAGAAGCGGTTACTTCGCGTTCGGGTTGTGGTCAATCATACCTTTGTATCTTGTCTTCATGCTCCTTCTCAAGCCGTGACTAAGATTAGATGCATCTTGAATCGAATTACCGGAATGCTATAATGATAATAACTAATACACATACCGCTGTTCAAAACAAATTTCCATCGATCACGAACGAGAAGCGAATATATCACGTCCCAGAAGCGATCGATGAGACATGGCCTGTCTTCCCCCCTTGTCACACAGTGAATAGGATTAGAGACATCTAACAAATATTATACACGCGAACTGACGAATCGAATCGAATTACTGGAGTGCTATCAAAATATTTACAACTAATACATGCACTACTATTCAAAACAATTCGCGTCGGAGTCGAAATATTAATGTTTTGAACAACGCTATATATGCATTCACAGCAGTTGCATAGATAATGATATGAATTGTTATTAATAAATACACGGAACTCCTTTATAATACATTAATGTCAGGCTGAAAAAGTATACACTTTAAAATTGCATTTGACCTAAAAACTGCAAACGTTATTAAAACGTTACCAGGTTGGAAACACTCGCCGAAACAGGACACTCTTTAGGCCCAGAATACAGCCATTATGCTCCCACAAAATATCATCATAATAGAATAATCATTTCTTGTTTGTTTGGAGTTTTGGATTTTGACACCACCAAACATGGGTTCGTAGTTTCATGCGATTTCATGGCACTAAACTAAACACCCGGAAACACCCCGAAATGTATTTGTGTTCACTGCCTGAATACATTGACAGCGGTCAGTTTCGGTACTACCGCTGCCATAGCCATGAATACTAACGACTCGTCGCTTAGCCATTACTACTTTTATAGACGACTAAACTATGTTACAGTTATTGAGTTGATATTTATTAAGACACTCACTCTGCATGGAAGTAATCGGACGCAGAATTACGATATGCAGTGTTGCGCCCCTTAGATGTTTCAGGATACTGATCGTGGTTTTGAGTCCAAAATTCATATTGATAATGAGCTTTTATTTGTGAATATCTCGAAAGGTTAACGTCCGTGGCTTGTGTTACTTGGAGTTACTCCTCGTCTCACTTATTATCCATCATGTATCCAAGGCAAAATGATGCTGTTCTTACACGTTGCCCACTTTGGTAAAACCCACGAGCACGTGTATGGTGCCAACAAACCATTAAGATTCGAACCCGCACCATAGAACAATGGGAAACCCATACTCCAAGGTCCCAGCAGACGTCTGAACATAGTGATCATAGTGGTAGTGGTGGTGGTGGTCCTGTGCATAGAGCTTAGTTTAAGTTAAGCAACGGTGGGCGCGGAGAGTGCTTCGATGGGTGACTGTTTGTCAGCTTGACTCCTAAGAGTTTTTAGGACTTCAGTCCTACCCCACAACGAAGATACATGCGGTCTCACCTTAGGCAAGAGAGTTTGTTCCAAATTGTCTCTTTTCACTCAGCGGAAAATGGGTACCCGGTGGGATAAGTATTATAACTATAACCTTCTAGCGCCTCACAGGCAGCTTAGGTTAACCGGGGTAATAATAACCCTGAGCTATGAACATGCTGTCGATGTGGATTTAGCACAGTATAGATGGACTTATTTTATACAGCGACACTGTGCCCAATTAGCACTTACCTCGATAATATTTTCCCCAAGTTCTGTTGAAGAGTTTAAATGGTTGCTGTACATGTACTGCCTTGACTTGCAGACCGCCTCCGTGGTGTAGAGGTTAGAGCGTCCGCCCGGAGAGCGGAAGGTCGCGGGTTCGATCCCCGGCCGCGTCATACCAAAAGACGTTAAAATATGGTACTTGTTGGTCCCTGCCTAGCGCTCGGCATTAATGGGTACAACAGGGACTGGTCGGCTCGGAGTCAGTATAATGTGTCTGAGTGGGGTATTCATGCTTCACTGCGGCATGGCATCTCAGTGGGCTAGCACTATAAAACCAGCTTCAGTCTGGGCTAGTACAAGCAGCCGCACATACACATACACACGCATGCACGTCGTCATATGAGCGAAATATTTTCAAGCACGACGTTAAACCCAATTTCACCTCACCTCACCTTGACTTGCAAATGAACCCTTCTCCAACCACACACACACACACGTGTCTCTTCTCTATACGCGTAGTTGTTATGCAGTATCGACATGAGTATTTTGATGATATTTCAATACAATGTCTGTCGTCCTTATAACATCTGCACCACAATAATGTGTTCACATTGTTTGGAAAAACTGTATGAACTTGATATATTAAAAAACATAACATGTATTTGTTGAGATATTCAATCATACAATATCGACTCTAAAAAAAAAGCTTACGTAAACTTTGGTGTCTCGTCGTTGTTGAAAATATATTAGTTGCAACATCTGGTTGACAGTGTTTTGTACATCAGTTCATGACTGTTGATATTAATGTTTCGTCTGATCAATATACTCTAA